TAGATGGTGGTAGGGGCTGCACACCCCTACTCTACAAATTTGAGTTGTTGGCATATCTGAGATTGTGATTAATTTGTTCCTTTCTTCATTTTAAAGATTTGATGATATGAGAGTAATTTCTTGTCTTTTTTTGTATTTTAATTGTATACTTTCTTTCTTCAAAAAGACCTTACGTTAAAGTGACACAAGTTAAGAAGAGCACATAGATCCCATCCTTCTGCGAAAGTTCCAACTGGCCATGGTTGCCTTCAATTGCTTATATAATAAAGACTTCCCGAGTCATGGATGCAATAGCAGTTATGCGGTTTGCTTTGCTTTTAAATTTTTATAGTTTGCCTTTTTTTGTTGCATTTGCTGTGCTTTTTTTGTATTTAAAAGTGATACCTCATGTATGGGGTGTTTATGTTGTCCTAACTTTTTTGCAGATGTTAAAACAATTTCTCCAGTTTTCTCTCACAAAACAAAAATAAACTGATTTATTAATGAAACGCCTTCCCCCCGAAGTTGGCCTTGGTATGAATTTGTTTGGCATATAAGACTGTGATCTCCATCTGGGGTCAGGGACTGTCATGACTTGAACTCTGCTGTAGGATGCCATAACCTGTTTGTGCCTTATAAAATAAACCACTACACCCCTGTGCTGGTATTAGGTCATTTTATGAATGGAGCTTAACGGGGTTATTCCTAATTAAGGGCTCGTTTCCATCAGCCTGTGTGCTCATCGCACTCATGCCTGAAACGCAAGGGATCATATACACAAATTTACTTTGTTGGGGCGCAAGGAGACTATTATACATTTTCTTGACGTGTGTATATGTGTGTGTGAGAATGTCTGTGGTTGTGTGTGTCTGTCACTGTTTTTGAGGGTCCGTTCACACTACCGTGTTTCCCCGAAAGTAAGACCTACCCCGAAAATAAGACCTAGCACTATCTTCAGGGATTTCTGTAATATAAGACCTACCCCGAGAATAAGACCTAGTTCGATGGTAGGTCTTATATTAATGGGAAACACGGTAGTACACAGACCCATGCGATTAATGCACTGAACCATGCAATCGCACCTATCGCGCATTCTGGTGTGGAATGTGCATTGCCATTAATTTGAATGACACCCCAAACGCACCTCCCACCCACAGTCCGATCGCCTGCACCTGAACGCCTGGTACTGCAATGTCGTGTATTCCAATGCGGTGCGACTTAGGTTGCGACTTAATGACCAAGAACAAATGTGGGTCCTGAGGTTACACAGGTTGAGAACCATTGCTCTAGATGACGCCTAAATAGTCCCCTCTTATTTTTACTTGGTGCATATTGAATATAGGGGTGTGGTGTCCCCGTTCTTGTGGCGATTCAAAATATTTTGTACAAATCTTACATATTGATGGCTGATATGTTCTTTGCGAAGACCTATTATATAACTGAGGATGTTATATTCATTGTTATGCATTATTATTGTGAAAAAATGAGTGTGCAGCGCTATACTAAGTGAGATATAATTGCATTATTATTGTTATGCATTTTTATACAAAATGTGTGTAAATCTTTTTACCCTCGAATGGGTTGTTTGTTTCTAAAAAAAAACAAACAATAAATAACTATTGAACTAGAAGACTGTGAGCTCCATTGGGTGACAGGGACAGTACGATGCTGTAAAATGCTGTATAACCTGCTGATGTGTTTTAGAAAATATATATTTAAGTCGTTTTCCAGGAAGGATGAGCTCGGGTTTAGGGCAAAGGTACACTTAAAGCCATTAGAGGCCAATATACAACTAACCAGTTATGGGCTACAAGAAAGCCACTTCTGCTTGCTAAGATTGTTAGTCTTGACTGCAAGAATTACCGGAAAACTGTGTAAATACCGGACTGTCAGGCTGAGAACTGGACAGGTCATAACCCTACCATGGCCCAGCCCTCCCCTGGTTCTTCTGGGAACAAAGGTCAGCAGGCAGCTCCAGGGCAAATGTTCAGGAAATATCTCTACCTCCAATTAATGCACGGCTCAGACTACAATGTGGACAGGCAGGTAAGAATCTCACATTGCAGACATAGTCTGTCTCTTCTACAATAAAAAAAACTGCTGGTTTGAATTAGTTTTTTTTTAGTTCTTCATTTAAAAGAATGTTACAAATCACAGGTAACACAAAACAAGATTTCAAAGTATAAAAGGCCTAGTATACAAGTGCATGAATATGGAACCAATGCCACGTCCAGGAAGGTCCATCCAAGAGTCTGATGGGTGACCAGAAGGCCCCAGCTTGAGCTTGATGACCTCTCAAATAACTTTTAGATACATAACATTGCGCATACTAGAACCCGGCTTGAATTGACGCCTATATTGCTTGTACCAAGAAGCAGAGATAGAAATAAAGGGGGGGAGAGGGGAAAGAGAGAAGTCCAGAGAGAAGAAAAGAGGGAAAAAATGGAGAGGGAAAGCGAAACAGAGGGGACGGGAAAGGACCTTTTAGATTGTAAGCCCTCAGGGCCCTCCTTACTATCTTGTCTTGAATTGTATTGTGATTGTAATGTCTTCCTTATATTGTAAAGAGCTGTGCAAACTGTTGGCGCAATATAAATCCTGAATAATAATAATAACTATGGGGGGCGGTAGCGAGACGCCAGGAGCCTCCAAATCGAGAACACTTTTGCCAAGGTGGTAATTCTTCCAGTGTTCAAAAGGCTGCTGGATTCTTCCGAGTATGTAAAATCCTGCCAGTAGAACCAAGTTTTCTGGAACTTCTCCTCCTTCTAGTGGAGGGCAGAGGTCAGTTCCCCCCATAATACGTATATGTTGTCCACTTTCCAGAGCCAAAGGTTGAGCGGAGGGGGGTCAGTGCTTTTCCAGTATATTGGAATGCAAGCTCTGGCAATGTTAATCAGGTGTATTAAGAGAGAATGTTTGTATCGGGAGTTTGACATTTTTTTGGTCATATCAACTTTTCCTTTATTAGGTAATGGCAAAGTTTTTGCTGAATAAACAGGCCCATAGCAAAAATTAAAAAATTGATCTGCTCCATGGGTGGTGTACATGGGGGTGGGGGGGGATAAATTAAGTGGTTATATTACTAAGGGATTTCAAATACTTTATTTATCTATTGAAATAACAAATTACAGAAAATCTACTCAAAATCTATCCTGATTGATACACTACCCATGGAAGGGAAGTCACTAGTCCTATGGACATGTACCGCTGTCTTAAAGGAAAATATAGTGATTAATCCACTGAACACCAATGACATCAATTGACCCCAATGTCCTCCATCCCAACCTCAGCAAGTGCCAGTGCCCCCCTCTCTCCACATAGTACCAGCACCACCCCTTCCTTTGCAGAGCATCAGTGCCCCCCCCC